GTCCGACTGGGGATGTGAGCCGGAAGATAACTACTGAAAGTTGAGGCCGGGGCGGGTACAATATGAAAGACAGTGCTAGGTTTGACGTATAGTGACGAACGTTGATGTTTTGTCTTGTTTCCGCCCAAAATCAACATGGTTTTCGCATTTATAAGATATGATAGATGACTGTTCTGTGATGTCGATATCGGTAAGCTCAACTGCTCATAGAAAGTTCAAAGTTTGGTTGAGACTTTGCGATGGTACCAACCGAAGATATTCGATATAATACATTCTCACGATATTTACCCGTCCTGCTATAATTTCTGCCTCACCCGCAGAAGCGAGCCACCGCTCCTCTGGTGTACGTCGTCGGCTGTGACAACGCCGGCCACATCAAGGATCTGACGGCGCGCTACGACCCCAAGTGGCACTCGAGCACGCGCAAACTGCGCGTGGAGCCTGACTGGTGGTCGGAGGCGACCGACGCGTGGCGGGCGGCGCCCACCAGGCGGGATAAGGAGGAGGACGAGGAGATGATGCGGGACCTGCAGGAGCGGCCGATGCCCCAGTCCATCGCAGAGTAGGTGGTTCATTTCAGCCGCGCCCGGGAAGTGGGACGATGTCTTAGTATAGCTCTTAGTCCATGAGCCGGCGTTAGCGGAGGTTATCGACTATCGTGCATGTTTACACAGGAAGTTGGGAGTTTATTTGAGCAGCTCCCGGCCGTCAGTTTTGAAATGCTCTGAATAGAAGAATTCACTGACTCATTGACAACCATGCGGAAAGTCCAAGCGCTGTGTTTGGGCCAAACTGTCATATAAACAAACATTCGGGCGGAAGCCTCTAATTTTTTGTTCAACATGCTTCACAAGGAGCTTCCGATTTCAAACGCTCCACATACTTGCATTGTCTGTCAATTTCCGCTAACTGCTGTGCCCTCTCGCTGTGCATTTTAGGTTCAAGGACCACCCGCTGTACGCGCTGGAGCGGCACCTGCTCAAGTTTGAGGCCATCTACCCACCGACAGCCGTGCCCCTTGGCTACATCGGCAAGGGCGAGCGGCGCACTCCCGTGTACGCCCGCGAGTGTGTGCGAACGCTGCACTCGCGCGAAACCTGGATCAAACAGGCGCGCGTCGTCAAAGAGGGCGAGAAACCCTACAAGATCGTCAAGGCCAGACCCAAGTGGGACAGGGTTCGTTACACCTGAACAGTTATTGGTTTTACTATTCATTTTTTCCGCAACTTGCCTTGTGAATGTACTGCCTTTTCTTTACCGTGACTAGGTAAAAGGTAGTCATATTGACATTTTGTGTGATAAACGTTTTTTTTTTTTGCTTTGCTGGTAATCCGGCAAGTCGGTAACATTGTCAGCTTCATAAGCATTTAATCTTGCCCTAATTCAATACACTCATATATTCGTGACTGTATCCTAACCACTGTCACAATAACCGTGTGACTGCCTCACACCTGGTGCCCTACCCAGTGACGCCTGGCGTCAAACATTTCCCGCTGTGATGCACCTGAATGTACGGCGGTCGTCCAATCACCGGGCTCGGCTTACCCGCAACTCAGTCTCCCTCACTACCGGTAGCGAGCTTATCTCAAATGTCTTTCCATTGACTGCATCCGGCCTGCCCTTTACCAGTGGCTCGTGAATGTTCGGTGTCGTCCTGTCCCCCACCTTGGCGCACCAACACTAACCGCCATGTCCTCCTACCGTGACGCACCAGTACAACAGCTGCCCACCCTGTCACGCCGATGGCTTTCCTCTTTCTCTGCTCACTGGTGACTGCCCCATCCCCATATTTTGTGACTGTCCTACCCCTCCCGCTTGTCACTGATTGTCCATTCCCTGCTCGCTGGTGACTGCCCCAAGCCCCCAACCCCATATTTTATGACTCTGTCCTGTCCCTTCCCCCTCGGAATTTGTCCCGCCTCTGTCCGCTGTTGACTGCCCTAAGCCCCCAACCCCATATTCAGTGACTCTGTCCTGTCCCTTCCCCCTCGGAATTTGTCCCGTCTCTGTTCGCTGGTGACTGCTCAGTCCCCATATGTTCATTCTTTCTTCGCCGGGCGCCGCTATCTCTGCGTTCTCCCACTTGTCCCCGCCCGCCTGCCCCAGGTCCCCTGCCTCCGCTAGCCGGTGACTCGGACTTGTGCCCGCCCGCCCGTGACTATTCCTGTCTCCGCCACTGACTCCGCTCCGTCCCCGCTGGCCTCAGGTGCTGCAGAAGGCCATCACCGACAAGCCGCTGGAGGTGTTCGGTCGCTGGCAGACGGCCGAGTACGTGCCGCCGCGCGCCGAGGGCGGCAAGGTGCCGCGTAATGACTACGGAAACGTGGAGCTCTTCAAGCCGAGTATGCTGCCCGGCGGAACGGTGCACCTCAACGGTGGGTCAGGGAGCGGCGGCCGTCAGGGAACACATGGCTCTGAGGCTGTTAGAGAATCGGGGGCCGTCATAGGGCGCCTTCCGCATTACCGTTAGTGTGCCTCTGCGGCTGCCAGGGGGCGCCCCAGCGTCAGTTGCTCCAGAGGAGACAACTGGAAGGCAGCAGAGTCGTAGCTTAGAAATTAGGCGGGGCTGGTGAATCCTTGTATCCGAGTGAGAGCCTTTTGGGTGGCTTTGTGATCCACCTCAAATGAAAAATGCGTTTTACACCAATTCACGACTCACAAATTTTCTCTCATGGGTCTTGTCTTCACAACCCTCGTAGCATTTGACACTCGTTTTATGCGGGTATTCATTTTTTCAAGTTTGTTTGTTGTTGACCTTTTTTGACGCTGTCCCGTCTGTCCAGTGGAGGGCCTGAGTCGGGTGGCCAAGCGGCTGGGCATCGACTGCGCGCCGGCCATGGTCGGCTGGGACTACCACTGCGGCGGCTCGCACCCCGTCTTCGAGGGATACGTCGTCTGCGAGGAGTTCGAGGATACGCTCATGGACGCATGGGAGGCGGTAAGGAGCGATTACATCCCCACCCCTCCCCGCCTAGGAGGCGGTAAGGAGCGATCACATCTCTATTTCCTACCCTTCTTTTCCTCCCACGCCACATGGCGTGGGAGGCGCCATGTGGCGATTGCATCCCCTTCCTGCTTGGGAGACGATATGGCGTCATTATGTCCGCCCTCCCGCCGCCGCTACCCACGCGAGCTGATTCCAGATAGATTACCCGCTATTCTGCAATGATAAGCATTTTTATAAGTCCAGTGTGCATAGTATGGAGGGCTCGGGCATGCGTGTAGTTTACAGTGTAGTTTGCGTTACATAAGTCTGTTTCTCTGTGATAAAATCGTATCTGAAAGCGCATGTCGTGACTGCCTACTCAGGCCGGCAGACGGGCGCACTGTTGGACGTCATTGCCTTTGGATCGTCGTGACTGTCACATTTGTGACTTGTGAGGGTTGTAGTGAGACTCGACTGGGGAAGCCGAAGACGGGACGAATTTGTGGGCGTAAGACACACTTCAATTTCTATCTAACCCTCCCTCGCCGCCCGATTTCTATCTAACCTCTCCCCGCTGCGCGCTCCTCAGGACCAGCGGGAGGCCCGGCGCCGACAGCGCGAGAAGCGGGAGAAGCGCATTCTGGACAACTGGCGCCGCCTGGTGCGGGGCCTGCTCATCCGGCAGCGGCTCGCCAGGAAGTACGACTTCCAGGACGAGCAGCCGGGCGCCAAACGGCCGGCGGGAGCTCACCGCCCCGACGGCAGCAAAAAGGCCCGCGCTCACACCGCCGACAAGCCCGGTCCGGGCCCCAAGACGGAGCCGGGGCCGCTGCTGCCGAACTTTGAGCCCAAGGTAAAGGTGGAGCCGGCGCAGACGGGAGCGAAATCGGCGGTTAAGTCGGAGCAAACTCTTTCAGGGAAGGTGAGCGCTATGATGCGGGCGACGCAGGAGGCCAAACAGGCGCCGAGGCGGGAGTCGAAGAGGAAGCCCAAGGAGCAGCCGAAGGTGGAGCCCAAGGAGGAGCCGAAGGGGGCCGGGTCGGAGGACGAGGAGGTGCCTGAGACCCAGGAGGAGGTGGCGCGCCGCGTGGAGGCCTCCATGGCCAGTATGGGGCTGCGCCGGGTGGCGCTCAGCTCGGACAGCGAGGCCGGCTCGGACGCAGAGGACGCCAAACCCGCCAGAACCGGGGCCCGGTTCGGCGCGGCGGTGATGGCCAAACTCAGCCCGGCCGTGACGAACGGAGTCGCGCGGAGTCCGGCGCCGACCGGGCGCAAACGCCGCTCGGCGCCGGCGGTCCGACGGCGCGCGCGGCGGGCCTCCCCTGCCAGCCGCTCGCCGTCCCCCGACCCGGCTGTCCCGGCGGCCGGCCGGGCCGCGCGGCGTCGCTCCGCGCGCACCGCGGCCGTCAACTACCGCGAGACGGCCGGCTCCGGGTCCGACGAGGACGGCGAGGCGCCCATACGAGAGGATGACCTCACCTCGGACGAGGAGCAGCCGTTCGCCAAGGCCGCCGCCGCCGCCGCCAGCTCCGGCGAGGACAGCGACTTCATGGGCTTCTGATTGGGGCGGGGGAACCAGTGGAGCCAGTCTGGAGTCGAATCTCGAGCCTGGTAAACCGTGATGCGGCCTTGTGTCTGTTGGAGCTGAACTACTGCCGTTATTCTCTGGACAACTGCCATACTCTTGAGTTGGGTGTACCTGATTGGTATTTGTTTTATACATTCCGCCCTAGCGTGGGTCGGAAGATCCTCAGAACATGATCGCTTCATCGCAGTGTTTTGAACTGCCGTAGTCCTCATTACCTTTTCTATGCCTTTTTTAGTCAGTCATGCTGAGATTTAGTCAAAGTAGAACTGTGATGTGATATGTACCGCCCGCTCCCCTAGTAGTCGTCGGGCGCCCTTCCGAAGAAACGGTGTGAGGCCTCGCGCCTAGTTCCAGTAGCATGTCTCCGGCGACAGATCGTACCTGAGTCCATGATCATTGATCATCCGTGGTCAGATTTGATATTGTTGTTAGATGGCGCCAGGCGTGCCCAGCTGTTACGTAGTCTTTATGCAGGAAATACACATCTTTTTACAAACCGGCATCTCTATGTATTATTCATAACATCTTGCATACCATGACTAGTCGGATTCTACACTCTGATATGGGTCTGTCCGTGCGCGCGGGGCGGGGCGCTGTGAAGTGCGGCGGCGGCGCGCCCGGCCCGGCCCCCCTATTGCTGACGGACGGACGGCCCGTTTGGCACCAGGAGCGCGGCGGAGAACGAGCCCGCTCCCGTCGGATCACAGCCGCTTACACGCGGCCGGCGCCCGCCCGGCGGCGCGGCGGGCGGCCTCTCAACACTCGGCACACGACGCGTGATTAAATACGGGCGGCGCGCATCACACACGGCACCGCGGCGGACTCGGGCGCACTGGCACTCGCACAGCTCACTCGGCTCTATCACTCGGGTCACACTCGCGTCACTCACTCTCACTCGTCCGTCCGCGCGAGGACACATCACAGAGTGTACGGGGCACGCGACTCGCGCTGTCAGTTCGGCGCTGGCCCGGTGGCCGCGCGCGCGGCCGCGAGTCGGAGATCAGTCGGGGCGCTGTAAGGCAGGCGCTCCGGGCGCGTCAGTTGGCGCTGGAGCGACCCACGCCCCGCTGCGTCAGCCCCTCGAACCGTTTGAACGTGTAGTTGATGAACACCCAGTCCTTGCAGCCCGGCTCGCCCTCCTTGTCCGGCGGCGGAGTCGCTGTGAAATGGAGAACAAATGGATGTTACCGGCGGGTGCCAGGAGGGTTACAAGGCAATTGTGCAAAGCGAGGGTTATAGGCTGAAGGCGAATGTGTACTCAGTCACAGTTGTGCGAACGGAGGCAGACGTAAAAAAGCTTGGAAATAAGGTCTGGTTTGGTATAATTAATCCCATCAATAACATCATACATTATAACACGCAGTAACATGAAATGCACTATCCAGTGCCTTGAAAAACAATAATGCACATCTCGTTAGGCAATGATGCACATCCGAACAACACCAATCGGAACATAAAAATAGTGCTATACGATCTCCCGTGGCCGTCTCCTAGCCGTAACCCCGTCCCATTCCTTACGTATGGCGAGCTCGACGTCTGGGATCTCGTCGAAGTTGGAGGTGTCGTCGATGGACTTGACGTCCACCTGGATGGCGGCCGGCCGCTCCCGGATGTTCTCCCAGTCGACGCCCCTGAAGAACTCGACCGACTTCACGTCCTGGAGGCCCTTGGAGCCCAGCCGCACGTCCGCTTCACTGCAGAACCTGCCGGCGGACAGAGAGACAGGGCGACCGTCAGCGATGGACGGGGAGCAGAGTTGAGTACTCGGCGACAAAACATTAGGCGGAACAATTTTGCCTGAGCAATGCGGGATAAGGTGGGAATTAGAGGCGGAAGCTTGGCGGCTAACTCAAACAGGCAAATTACTGAGAAGCAGTAAAACAGTTACATGGAAGTAGGAGCAATATCAGCGCACCAAAGGTCCAGCTCGAAGAGCCGGCCCAGCTCATTCACCAATACCCGGACCGGCCCAAAGTTCCGCCCCACTCCAGGGTCTGGCCACCTGGCGTCGGCCGGCCGGCTGACTCAGCGGGGCCGTCACAGTCGACCGGCCGGCCACGGTAACGGTTCACTGGGCCGGACGGCCGGTCGGCACACAGCCGTACCGCGCCCCGCCCGGCCTCAGTGGCGGCCGAACAGGGCCCGGCCCCAACCACGGCAGCCGGACACTCGGGGCCACTCGATCACACAGGTCGTCAATTCATTCTGATGCTTCCCTTGGACAACACCACGTACAATCCAATCAGGTCACCATCCACAACAAACGCACACGTCCCCTGAGCTCTCAGCACTGCCGGCTCTGCCGACTCTCGTTAACTGATGGAACTCACATCATGATTGTGTTTCGCGCCTGCTCGGAGATTGGCGTCTCTGGAGGGAAGACGAGCGTCTCCTTCCAGTTCATCACCTTCTTGTAAGTCTCTAGGAGCGACTCGCTGGAGAACGGAGGATAGCCTGCCGACGGAGAGCAGCCAGGGTCAGCGATCGAGCGCGCGGTACGATATCTGACGCGCATGACGGACACAGGAGAATGTCGCGGGACAGCGCGCCTACATAGTCCAAGGAACTCAGCGTGATATGCGTAGACGGTAGACCCCCACCAGCAGCGTATCCCAAGTGCAAACGTTCTGATTACGCGTAAACAACCAAAAACTATTTACGCAGAACATCAACGGTAAAACGATCTCACATCTGATTGACAAGCACCCCAGCGCAGGAGAGCAGACGCCGTCACCGTAATGTGTCCCGGGAGCCGAGCACTCACCGATCAGCATTTCGTACATAATGACACCCAGACTCCACCAGTCACAGGCGGGACCGTAGCCGGCCGGCTGAAACACTGCCGAGAAAAACACGGTCATCACATTTCCATCATCCGCCCAGTATTCACAGAAACTTCAGAAATTAATGAACAAGGCAACAGTCGTATTACAGTAATACGATTTCCTTCTTAAGAACATTAAGTCCATTCGTGCCTAAGTTATAAAAACGGATACACCCGTAGTTCCAGGTTCATACCAACCGATCACAGCCCGGTTAGTCAGACTTCCGAGAGGTGTTACCACCTTTGTAATTTCGCAAAACTTAACAAATGTTGAAACAAAAAATTGCATTACTGGAGTTGCAACAAACTTTATGAAAGATTTAGGCGTGACGCACGCATGCATCACTTTGAGCGAGTGATTATGAGTTTGTTGCTATTCTTGTTCTCAAACAGCACACAGCTCGCACAGACTGATGTTAGTTGATTATGGCCAGCCTCTGTGAGCTGGCTCAGTAAATACCACACGGGAAGTGCGCGCACCTTTGTCCTGTTTGGACGGCCGGAACACCTCTGGCGCGATGTAGTCGGGCGTGCCCACTGCCGAGTAGGCCAGCGCGCGCCGGTTCTTCTTCCAGCTCTCCGCTCGACGCTTGCTGTCCATCGGGTTACTCGCTGCAGGCGGAGAGAAAACACACCGAGTTAGGTGAATTCTGCGGCATGTGAAAATGACCAACATGGTACAGATATACGTCTGAAAAGAAGCCAGTGGATGCTAAAGAGCATGACCAGATGTCCTTACTGATGTAAAAACGCGCGGTGCAATCAACGCGACACCAAATTCTAAAAATCCCAATTGACATCGACGCACCATTGAGGGAGCCTTTCAACGCACAACACAAGTCGCAGAAAACAACGGACACATTCACAGCAGCACGGTCCAAATTTCCACATCTCTCATCCGGCAGAGCCACTAACACAAAACCCACTGTCAACCACCGCCATTATCTCGTCATTGCGGCCCATTTCGGCGCACAGACGGGCCACATTCACCGGCACACCGGCGGGCCGATCACGGCCATCGTATCGCGCGCGGCATCCACCGGCCGAGCTAATGCAACAATCGGACCAACACCGCTGTGGCAACCGCCAGCCGGCCGGTCGGCCGGCACGGCTACATGGGGCGCAGCGGACCGGCACCGGCGACCGTGGCGCCGCCCTAGCGGCCGGGCCGGCAAACAGGGGACGGTGGGAGAGTGGAGGAAGGGAGGCTGGAGGAGAAGGGAGGCTGAAGCCCCGACAGGCTTGTTTTGATTGACAGCTTGTCTTAGTTCATCGAAAGTTACAGCTTGCTCTGAAATCGACTCCATAAAGTCTATAAATGAGCGCACCATGACCACGGAACGAATGCCTCATAAAAGTCCAAACAGTCACGCGGAGTTGTTCCTTTCACTCTTATGACATTTACTAAGGTCCTCACGACCCATCGCCAACAAGAATCCGTACACGGACCCAATTACAACTGCCGCTGAATCATTAGCGGTCTCCCAGGAACCCTGGGTGTCAGGACACGCTGAGCACTTGTTGACAGGGTGCCGCTCGGCGGCCGGGAGTGTTCTCGGAACGGCAGGCCGTACCGCCCGGCAGCGCGGCCGTACCGACGTCTGTCCGCCACGCAGTACATACACCCGCCGCTGAATCCTCGCCCCGCTCCGCCGACAGTGGCGGTGGTTTCCCCGCCTTTTACTACCAAGGCCGGCCGGTAATTACATCACTGCTCACAGTCCGGCTATCAGTGCATGTGCATGACGACTGGCTGTTCCGACAATTATCGTCGGCCAAATCAATTAGATATGCTGCCAGACGTAAAGATAGCAGCTGAAAGCCGTGTCAAAACAATGAACGAGATGTCCAGATTGCTCAAAACCGAGGTCATGTGGTAATTGAAGAAAGTGTCTGAGAAGGCTGAAGTCAATCACCGAATAAATTCGAAGCAATAGAGTATAAGTGCAATCAACCTAGTCAACGAATGAGCTCCAAGCAATAAAACCAAAGTGCTATCAACACACACGACTTGATATCTCAATATCAAAACAAGCACGTGCCAGGCGACCAGCCACCGTCTAACGAGGGAGCATTATCCCAGGCCGGCTTTCACCGCGCACCCGTCTGGTGATTACTGGCACACCGGCTCCTCTCATTAACCCACAATTAGTTACATCGACAGGCGACCACTCAGCTACCGATGTGGCTCCGAGCCGGCAGCTCGCTCATACACTGGCGGCTATAACCCACTCGGACTCTCACCGTGTGTCACCGTACACACCTGGGAACAGGAGCACCTGATAAATAACCCAACTTACTCCCGCGCCGACCATTTATCAAATAGTTTATCTGACGCGTCGGATCGAGAGACGATCGCCGGGCGGGGACCGGGTCCCACTTTCTCCGCCGGCCGGCCGAGCGCAGCGGCTGTCTCCGGGCGACTTCATCGGACCGGGCGGCTGTCCGACACGGCGAGACTGACTACCGGGAGACACCCGTGATCAGCCTGCGTCTCCTCGTGGAGATCCATCCGAGACGCTCTCCAGCAGAACTTCTGCTCTCCAACAGACCCCAGCTCTCCAGCAAATCTCGGCTATCCGCCGCGGGCGCCCGCCGCCAGGCTGTCCCATCTGTCCGACTCACAGTCATTCAGCGGAGACGGCAGCAGCCACAAACCCGCCGAGATGGACAAATGAAGAGTTAGCCATGCTCGCGTCAGGTGGTGGCCGCCACAAGTCAAAGAACTGACTGTCATCTCAGTCAGCAAAGCTGTCTGACTGGTCAATTCGACACTCTGAGCCAGCTGAACGGTCCATCTGACACACGGAGCCGGCTGAATAGTTCATTCGACACTCCAAACCACCTGCCCGACAAGATCAAAACACCGCTCCGGCTGTCGGTCGACATTTCCGAAACAGATTGCTGGCGGCCCGTAGCTGCCCGGTCGGGATCGAACCACCTGGCTGGAACTCCGGCCCCGGCGTGCCACTGCGAACGTGAACCGCCGTTTGGCCAGCGCCCAGCGGCGTCCTCTGCGCCTCACAGCTGGCAGCACCCGCGACCGAGCGTCGTTTGTTCCGGCTCCTGGTCCAGCGAGATGGTACTATTTATACAGCACTGGAATCCCAGTCATGCCACTGATGCACGTGCCATATATGACCAGAGTTGGTCCCGTCATTCAGTCTGCCAAGATAAACCAGCCATAGACAGGAAAGTGAGTCCTCAGTGTAACGGAGGACAAATTTATAAAAATGCAGCTACAAGGGTGATGAAATTTGAAAGATTTCCAGAAGTGTCCTGGCATAATAAGGCATTGCTGCAACCCCAATGACTCGCATACTCGCACGTGTTATTTTTGGACAGCTGGCATCTTTACCCTTCCAGGGCTCACACTGACACCTGCCAGACCTCTGACCTTCAGTCTCTCACTGACAGGTGCCTATTGTCCCGCTGCAACACTGCCACAAACGCCTATCGGGAGATACAAACAGAGCTACGTGCGCTGCGGATACACACCGACTCCGGCACAAACACTCACTGCCACCGATAGGGCGGGTACACCAGTCACTCATAATCGGTCAGTCGGTACACCGGGACGGACTCAGCCACCGGGGCCCCACGCAGAGATACGCACTGATACGGCGCCGACAATCCAACACTTCATATCGGACAATGGGGTCGATTGGCATGCCGAATAGCATAGTAATGTGGCCGTGATTCACAAGACACCGGAAAACTATACAACACAAAAAAAATGGTTTTATGACGGAAAAGTGCATAGCAACAGACGGGTTCACTAACCAACTTTGAACGCCTTAGTTGAACGTCACAAGTCCCCTACTAAACACAGACAGTCACCAGAAGGCGGGTCTGGCTACTCACTGAAGTCGGAGGGCTTGGCCTGGCTGAGGTCACGGTAGAAGTCTGTCCGGTGCGACTTCTTCAGACCGGTACACAGACCAAAGTCGGACAGCTTGATGTGGCCCCGCGCGTCTAACAGCAGGTTATCTGGCTTCAGGTCTCTGCGGGAAAAACGAGACAGACGGGTTAGATGAGAACGGCTAGGGAGGGAGCACCAGGGGGCGTTGGGAAAGGCCGAGTGGGCGAGCAATTATGACGGGTATGTCTGATGAAAACGACTGGTGAGTAAACAAGCCAAACGCGCTAAATGAAAACGACTTTGTGCACAGGTGCGGGCTCCCGGTCGGTAACACGGTCGGCGGGCACACAGCGGTTCGGGCGATGCATCACCGGAAAACACGGGAAAGTACTGCAGGCAGCGCTCTTTGTCGGGGCATGGGGTTCGCGCCGGTACGTGTCCGCTCACACCCCGGCCGTCCGGGTGGGTTCGGTTGCCGGTTATAGGTGTGACGCCTGGACAATCACATGGAACAGTCAGTGTCACCAGCGCCCTAGCGCTTAACACTCCCCCTGACCCAGCGGTCGCCCAGCCGCCCAGCGCCCAAAGCGCTGCAACCGCCGCCCGTTGTCAGTTGAATTGCGCTCAATAGACTGCGCAAATCCCACTGCATGCCTCCATAGCAGTGATAAGAGAGCTCTGCAGATATCGCAAAAATGTGCACACGAGCTGAGCTTGTTTGACGAGAGCTTTCAGAGGAAATCGACCCCGCAGCTCAGGAATGCTCTACAAAACAAACAGCCGCCGGCTAAGCAGCGCTGACAACACCACCGACGTAGTACTATTCGCGGCACACTCATTCAGGGAAACAATCGGCGGCGTTATCCTCATCAGATACGGACCGGCTCGTCACAAACGACACGGAACCGCCATTACGGCGTGTCAACGCGGCGGCTCGGTGAGCGACCCCCGGTCTCGGGCCCGGCTCCGGCAGCAGAAGTCGCGCACGGCAGCGGCCGTAACGGAGCGTCGGCCAGCTGTTTATGGCACGGGACGAGACCGGACCAGCCTGCCGAGCAGGCAGACCGGTCGGCGAGAGCCACAGCCCAGAAAGGCGACAGGCCAGTCGCTGGGCCTCGGCGGACCAGCACGGCGGGTGGCAGCCCACGGCAGCAGGTGGCTCCGCACCACGGCAGTGTGCTACACACCAGGAAAACGGCCGGTCGCGCCGCCACGGCCGCTCGGTCCCGGCCACCGCGACCGGCGCAGCACGGTAGTACGTGACCAGCTGCGGCCGGTACTACAGGCCAGCACGCCGCGCATGACGAGCCGGCGAAAAACGCCGCAGCGAGCCGGCCGTTCTGCAGAACTGCGCCGCCGGCCGGCCCGGCGTGTGCATATTGTTGGATGGGACCGCGCGAACGTCCACACGGTTCTCTGTGGGGTATGATGGATATCACGACATGCGTCGAAGTTGCGGCTAAAAGAACAGGATTCTGCTCGATCTGGAAGACCATTTTTACAGAAAACAATTGCCAGAAGAAAATGAAAGCAATAGGCGGTCGTCGAGTCGCTAAAAAATAAAAATCATTAGGATTGTCAGTTTAGCAGCCCACTGATTCCTGAGCGCTATCTGTATTACAAAAAGTCTTCATCAGGTTGATACGGTAGCCATCACCCTCCCAGCATCCCTCATAAATCAACTTCTCTCCCTCCTAGTTGTCGCTCTCGTAACTGCGGCAGCCACTGCCGCGCTGTCGAGCTGACACAGCCCCGTCCCGTCTCGACACTGACCTGTGGATGAAGCCGAGCTTGTGTATCGACTCGATGGCCAACGCCACCTCGGCCACGTAGAACTGGCAGCACTCCTCGGAGAGCGTGTCCCGCTTGATGAGCAGCGTCATCATGTCACCTGAGGGAGAGGGAGATAGGAACGTCACACGGCTGTACCGCACATGGCTGCAGATACAGTCAGTCAGGGACGGCGTCATGTCACCTGTCGTCACACAGAGAGAAACGCTACACGGATGTCCGTCACATTGCCACAGTTGTGACGCAGAGCGCACTTACTCATACTGACAATTGAAGCGCTCTGACACTACCAACTCGAAGTCTGTCAGCCGTCCAATGTGAATCGTTCAGACAAATGTCAGGTAAAATCATAGTCAACCAATAGCTCACAGTCAAAACCCCAGTCCAGCATGTTATAAAGAGCTTAAGGTCACAGTCACGACCGCCGACACAATCACGTCCATCTGCGCACGATAACCGCCACACACGAGAACAGGTAAACACACGCACGGAAAATAAACAGCTAGCGCAGGAGGTCCTCACAGTAAACATTACGCAGAGCACCGCCGAGCGCCTCGTCATTCTACGCAGCACACGTCACCCCGCCTCCTCAGACGCCACAACACCACCCTTCCTGCGCCGGTCGCCGCTGAGGATCCTGTGACGTCATCGTGGTCTGGTGACGTCACGTGTCTGAGTTACACAGCGAGCGGGTGACATCCGGTCGGTCTGACCACAGGAGGGCGATATAGCAGCGGCCGCAGCACGACACGCACGGCACAGCTCGCCACCCTGCCAGTCAGGCCATCCGGGCGCTCCCAGCACTGTCCGGTACACACCGCACAAAGAAAAAACACAGAGCCGTGTGTGACAGGGCGGCCGCTCCCCGGTACCAGTCAGCTCTGACGCCTCTGACCGGCCACTTCCAGCCAGCACAGCATGGAACGGGCGCGAACCAACACCGGGCGGGCCCTGTAACAACAGGACCGCGATAACACCTCAACACAACACGGAAATGGCTACAGTACCACCGTGACACATGCGTGTGCCACTAAGGGAACGGCTCGCACCAACACGGAACCTGCATAGACCACCACGCGACTGAAAAGGCCCGTGTGGTTTGTGGCCAAACATACAGCACCACAGATAGGCGCAAGTTCATTGACAAAGCGCCGCACTCTGCATTATCCTCCGTCGACACAGCACCGTCAAATAATCACACCGAACCAACCCATTCACCACCCCGGGCCTGTCCACTGTGCAGTGTCCACAAGTGCTGTCCGTCAGTGACACAGACCCAGCGGCAAGATAGTCCAGTTCCGTCTCCGATAAGGCCGGTAACCGGCCCACGCGACCCTACCACTACCGCTGAACGGTCGCAGTTTTTCTGCCCGGCAGCACACGTCTAGTCGAAGCCATCAGCTGACACTATCACTTAACTGGATCATTTTCGTCACGTTCACTTCCACTCACTGCTCCGGACCACCCTCCCACCCACCTTCGCCTGCAGAACTCATCTCGCTCCGATGAATCGCCCTCAAAGAGCGCCATTTCGCTCCGAGTGAGCGTGAGATCAAGGCTCTCGGGCCGGCCGGAGCCGGAGCCACTCCAGCCCCAGCTCCGGAGCCGGCAGCTCGGCCCGCTTTGTTCGGTGACTCCGTTACCCGGTCGGCCGGCGCCGCGGCCGCCGCCGGGACGCACTGGAGCGCGTCAGAAGGCTCATTTGGCCACCTCCGGCCGCTGCAGTTGGCGGCGACAGAGCCATCAGCGACCGTCAGCGAGCGTCAGCCGTCGCCGCGGGGTAGCGGTCACAGAGACAGTGGAGGTGAGGGTAGGGTTCGAACGAGATCCCACACCACAATAAATCGGTCAGAGACTGGTTAAGTTGATCAGTCGATAGATAGTACGAGGACAGGCCATTTGAGGGACGGAACCAGAGCGGAGCAGAGCTGACCCGTCCCGACCGGCGGCGGCGGCGACCCGAGTCGGCCCAGAGCTCCACTAATCGAACCGTTACCACGACCGCTGCCGAAACTGGCACAGTCCGCCGTGAGCCACCGGGCGCGGCACCGTCACCGTCGCGACACCCGCTCGCCGGCACCGGCGCCATTCCGGCCACAATTAGAGCGACATAATCCCGGCCCGCGTGGGCCGTGCTTTGTACGGCACTTACACTAATGGCACATTCGGCCATCAATTTCACACGATGGCGACACACGCCTACATGACACTTCAGTCCCCGGCCGTTAAAAATCCGGTGCAGGTCGGGCCGGCGCTGTGCGTAAGGTCCTGGTGGCGTGACGGGGGCAGCTTTCCGAGCGGCGATCGGTCGGCGCCGCTGAGCCGACCGCTCGTGACGCGAGCGGCGGCGGCGGCGGCGGCACCTTCCTGGACGGGCGTCATTGATCCAGCGACACGTCATCGGCGTCAACACCGGGTCAGCCGGGTCAGGGGGCCCGTCTGCCGCCGCCAGCCAGCCGTACACCGCCGCGAGCCAGCCCTATACCGCCGCGCGCTCACTCCAGACCGACAGGTCAGCGAGTCAAGGAGAGCCTTCACCCATAGCCGGCCGACACCACGCGGAGAGCCGACCACCAAAAACGCCGGTCCACTTCCAGCAGGAGGAGTCGCGAGCCGCGCGTGACGCTCGTTTCATTCTTTATTTAAAGGCGATGAGGTCGCTCATCACCCAGGGGTGGAGCTTCCTATTCACTTAGTGGGGCGCCTGCCCCACCAACTTGCCAATTTGCCCCACCAATAAGCGTTTTGCCCCACCAACATAAGCCGATTTGCAGGACTTTACTGCTTAGCAAACCTATGTTTTTCGCATTGAGGAGCTTTGAAATGTCTGTGTAATGCAAAATATTATCTCTGTAATGAAAAGAATTGATTCATTGTTGAATTTTATCTAACTTAACAATCGGACATTGTAGGTTTGACAACTTTTTGCCCCACCAACTTTCCTGGAAAAGCTCCACCCATGTCATCACCGTTATTAGGAAACTTTGGTAGTCCGGGCGACACATGCAATATGAAGTGGTTCTGTCACCAAACGGTTACAACGAACATTCCCCGCATAATAGAGCTATGCATACACAACAGGCCACACCGCTTTCCGCATAATTTGGCTATTCACATCATGTCAAGTAACTAAACCAACGTAAATGATAATGAAACGGTCCTTTGTCTCCGCGTCATCAAAATCCGCACCAGAATCGCGTATTATTGTGGCCGAGTTACGTCAGCAGTTACGGATATAGCGCTATTCATGGAACGGCGCCGACTACGTCAGCGGAGCCGAATCAGCGGAGTAACTGCCACAGAAATCAGCCGGGCTTTACTGCCCGGCCTAAACTGAGTATCAGGGCGGCGACCGCCGCCGGCCGCAGGCAATCTCAATAATGGCTGGATAGCGACGATTGTCTCAGGGCTTAGAATGATGTCCGAGGGCGGCAGTCAGGCGCCGAGACGACCTCACTGAATGCATCCATTTATCGACGTTCGCTGTACCATACCACTGAGAACGACAGTAACCACCAGCGGACACGGCAACATTGCCAACGCAGCACACACGCGGTCACACGGAAAACAGAAACACCTCTCGAAACTCCAGCCGGTCAGTGCTGAAAGCCTCGACACGGCAGTCTCCGATCGATCGGCCGAAAATAAGCCGCTTAACCCATGTCAACGGCGACAGGGCGTCACTGCAGCGGCGGTGGCGCGCGGGGCGACACCACTCACCTCCCGGCAGAAACTCCATGATGAGGTAGAGGTTGATGGCGTCCTGGAAGCTGTAGTACATCTTGACCACCCACTGGTGGTCGGCCTCCACCAGGATGTCTCGCTCGGCCCGGACGTGTGCCACCTGTTCGGTCTCCAACATCTTGGCCTTGGCCAGCACCTTCATGGCGTAGACATGGCCCGTGTCCTTTTTCTGCACCAGCCGTACCTGCGGGACGGAGAGCGGGGTCAACGAAGGTCAGGTCAGGGTAGGGCAGAGCAGAGCGTACAGCGCAAGGCAGGGCTGGCACGATACTGAAAACGCTACAGGGCAAGACAGTAAGACGTAGCATAGAAAAAGAAACACCAAACTGTGAAAAACATAGCACTCGAGGGAGGGACGGGGACTCATACGCGAGACTGGGGAAAGCACAGAGCAGTCTCGGGAAAGATATCAGACAGTTTGTCACGATGGTATGCATGAGTTTCGCATCGTATGCCCTCAGAGGCCGCCTGGAGAGCCATGGCATCTCGGTGGTGAACTGTATGTAAGTCGTATTGGATGGAGTCGTCAGAAAGAATGGCAGATTGTACGACGGGCGGCCGCCGGTCCGCCCAGCTGTGCCGAGTACCGCCGAGCCCGGCCCGAGTCGGGACATCCCGGAGCCACCCTGCTGAGAGGGAAGCACAGCAGAGGTCCGCGACTCAAGCGTCGTCGCACGGCAGGCCTAATGCTGACACAGCGGCCGCGGCACGGCATAAAGCACGCTCAGCCGTCCCCAGGCCGCTAACCACGGCGGGTGCCGTCACGGCGACCAACGAGGGGCGTCCATCACGGCGTGCACCCCAGAGGTCTGCACTTGCAGTGCACACTGCACACTGCACTGTGCACTGTGCACGCCCGCCGTGACAGACCTTGGCCGGCAGACAAAGCTGCGAAACCGAGAGGAAAAACCGGCCGGCCGGCTCACTCCCGAGAGGTGTCGCCGGCCGCGCTGGTCGTTCCCACGCTGGGTAAAAACAGCCGCCACCGGTCACACGGGGTGGCGCGCACCCGCGCCGTGACGGCTCCCGGTGCAGGCAACCGGCGACCGCTCTCGGATAAAAGAACTGGGCCACCCGAGCAGCAGCAGCAGCAGCGGCAGGGCAGGCGTGGTCCACCGCTGGCCCACATCGCTGACAGATTTCCGAGCGGCTGACCGCGCGCAGAGACCGGCTGGAGATGTCAGCTGAAACGACAGCCGGGAGCTGCAGCGCTGCGCCGGGTCGGCCGGCTGCGTGCGACCGGTCCGGGAATCGTCCATCACCCGGTGTCAGAGAGGTCTCCGGGGACTTTGATCTGTCGCCGTCTCACACCCAGCCACCCGAGTCCCCAGCTGACGTCGTGGGACTCGGTCGGTCGCCGGCGGCGGCGCGTCACGGCCGAGCGGAACTCGGCGAGTTCGAGCGCCGCTCAGCCGGCCGTATCAGCGGCATTTGGCCGGAGCCAGCCTGTAGCTCTGCAGGGTCTGCACTGCACGCCCGTCCCGCCGGGAATATCAGAGGTGTCAGCTGTCCACGCAGGTAGTGTGGTCTGGTGTCCGAGAGGACCCAGCGTGTGCTGACAGTGTGAACAGATGACCGAAAGCAGCACGTGGCGTCCAAAAACGAGCCGACGAGCAGACTGGTCCCGGCACCGCCACCCCTAGAGTAAACCCCTGGCCTACAGCAAACTGGTCCGGCATAAGCACACCCAAAACAAACTGGTCCAGCATAAGCACACCAAAAACAAACTTAACCGGGCACAACCACTCCCAGAACAAACTGGTCCCAGCACGGCGCCCATTGAGCAGGAAGAACCTTATGAGACTCAAAAGGCTCCGTCGAGGGCACACGGGCGGCACTGGATTCAAGTACACATTCAACTTCCGACTTTCAAGAGTCACGGCGCCGGGACAGTACAAAGGAAGACGAACTAAACAAAGCAGGGGACGGTACAACGTCGGAGAAACTCGAGGTCAAGAGCTCAACTTGGGAAAGAATCGCGCGGCCACAGGAGAAAGTGGAGATCACGAGTTGGGCGCCTGAGAAAACAGAGCAGCACACGCCGGGCCACCGCCGCACTATGGTTGGAAACGGCCTCACGGATGGCCGTGGGCAATTTCGGAATATATGTATATTTGGGGTGTCATTCTGTTGGAAATTGATGAAATGTTTTGAATTGGGCAGGAAAAATTATTTAGTTGCGCATTTAGTCTCCATTATTGTACGTGGAATCAGGAGTTTCTGACAGTGACTTTTTTGGTGCGCCGTCAAAGGTTTAAACAACCGCGCTTGTGATAGCATGTGGAGTACCTCCATGACGTTGTAAAACTGGATTATTATATATCAAAATAATCCTTGTTATGTTGGCTATCGAGTGGAGTGACTCTTTTTCCCATGCGTGTTCAAAATCAGGAACGGCATTGCATTCTGTTCGCAGTGTCACCACAGCAATATTTGCAAAATTGCGTTTATGTTTCATTGGACATACAAAAAGTTCTCCATCGACCTCCATTGAGCTTTTTGGCAGAATAAATCTCTGTTCAATTCTGCGTAAGGGGAACGTAAAAGCAGACTGCGCACTTGTGCGCAAAATCGTCCGTGAAGCTTCATCTCCCGAGGCGTACCTACCCGTCGCTTCGTTAGCACCAGGTCGGCTCGTCAGTCTTGCAATCGCTTATCCTTATAAATGATGGTAAGAAGCAGGGTTGCGGAGTCGTGGTGGCGCCAAATCCGACTCCGACTACGACTCCGACTCCTGACTCGTTGCCATGACTCCGGCCGACTCTGTCTCCGACTCCGGACCCCTGCCAGTGTTTCGGAGTCGCGATGGAGCTGTTCCGATTCGGACCGACTCCGACTTCCACTGCGGGCTCCTGACCGACACCGACTCCGACTCCGACTCCTGGCTCGTTGCCACGACTCTGGGCGACTCTGACTCCGACTCCGACTCTGACTCCGACTCTGACTTCGACTCCGCACTCCTCGTAAGAAGTAACTGCTCGCCCCTGCACCTGGAGTATGAATATCGTGCAAACGTGTATGGATATCCTGGAGTATGGATATGGATATCCACTGACAGAACAGACATACAGACATGCTGTAAACTCCATTACACTGCCAATACCATGGCAAATCAAATGGCTATCTATGGTTTTTGATCATCGTTCTACATTTTCCAAAATCTTGAACTGAATGTTGGCAATGTCTCGTGACTACTTCACGACCATGACGCATGCATTTCTGAAATTGATCTTTTTTCAACCAGCCACGTACTCGTATGATAAAATGAATGTCACCATCGTGTTCTACGCCCAAAAGTGCCCATAAAACATGTGTCATGCATGGGCTGCGAATAGGTACCAGTTTTAATTTTCGGGGTTATGTGCTTACCTGATTGACCTGACTTTGACCCTGGCCAGTGGCCTATGCTTGACTGACCCCTACATTGATCTGACACTCTTTTAGCACTTATATGAAGGGTTGTGACAGTTGTGACGGTTGTGACAGATTGTTAAGGACCAACTGATGACTGAATTTATTTAGGACCAACTGATGACGATATAATCGAAACGCGAAACGCGAGGCACCGATTGCGAGGTTCTAAAGTCCATGCTACTGAAAGCCCGATTTCAAGTGTTTGACCTGACCTTGACCCGACCTGTGACCTCGAAATTCAGCTTTAAAGTATTCATGTGAATCGTCTCGTCGCGTTCTTCTTTCGTTTGCCGCGCCTCGTGCGTTTCGCTGCGCCTATTTGTTCGCGAGTTATCGGCTGGGGGCGTTGAACGCCCCCCCCGGCAAACGGCGGATGGGGAAATACCCCAGCAACTGCCGGGTTAATCTGACGCATGTTTTGTCATTTGATCGTCATTTTATTTCTTACTTTTTTTGCCCAATCTAAAAAAAAAACATAAATACTCTTTCTCCAAATTTTTGACCCTTTATGACCAATAGGAAGACACTGTGCGTCACTACGTTGATATTTCTCGCCCTAAAGCATAACAACAATATCCATTCAGTAATAGCAGTATTCAAAACATGTTCAAAATGCCTCGCGATATCGATAACATAACGAAAGACATAGGCGACTTATGACATACTTGCAATGATGACGTCACACACGCGTGACGTGACGTGACCTCGTCATTTCTGAGTTTCTGTATGATGCACGAAAGACACTGGTATACCTATGCAAAGTTTCATCGCAGTCGGTCTACGCATTAACAAGTTATGGGCAAAACATTTTTTCGCGTTGACCCCCGGCCATCCGTGAGGCCGTTTCCAACCATAGTGCGCCGCCCTGGATTGATGCAGTTCCCAGAGAATACAGGCCCTGGCCAGTTTTACAGGGCGCTGTCACGACGGCAGCGGTCGGCGCGCAGTTCCGTCAGTCGCAGCCGGGCCTGCCAGCACCGTCGGCCGGTCGTCAGCGCGACGCGACCGCCGGGCGCCGCACTAACGACCGACGGGCCGACGAACCGTCCGGCTCTGCCGACCGCCGCCGGCAGCCCGCCCCGCGGCGGCGGAAGCCCGGCTGTGAGCGCGCCTCCGCCCTTCACTGCCGGGTGGCTGCCGGCTCGGCGGGCCCCAAACCCGCCCACCGCCCCGGGCTGAGTACGCAGCAACAGCCGCCTACCGCCGCGAGCCGCTCCGTCATTGTCAGCGGCCAGTTGGCTGCCGTCCCGGCACCTGCCGAGACCGACGACGGGTCGCCCGGTCACCGGGCCCCGACAGCTGTCGAGCCAAGCCGGAGTCCTCTCAGAGCGGCCCAGCTCGAAGCCCAGCTGAGCCGGGTGAGCCGAGCCGCTCCGAGCCGAACGAAGCCGATCAAAGCGAAACGGGGATAAATCTGAAGAGAGACATCCTAATAGAAGAAAAACGACACGAAAGAACGGGATTTCACAGAAGACATTTTTCAGCGGTGTAAAATCTTTCCGTTTGATCCAGCGGGCCAATCATCCGGCTGGAGGCGTCGAAGTGTGACGGCGCTCTCGGCTCGTTGGTGGCAGAGGAGCGGGTCGGCCCATTCCGGCCCGCTCGGAGCCGAGCGTTGACCGCCGGGTCGCCGACCGCGGCCTCATCTCCGCGCCGGCCCGTCACGGTACACGGCCTGACCGCACGGCACCGTCACGGCCGGCGGCGTGACCCGCCACGGCGTCACGGTCGGTGGTGATTGGCGTGCGGTCGGGTCGTGCCCGGCCAGCGTTGACGGTACGGCGGGCGGGCGCAAAGGTCAGCCCCGGCTGTCAGGTAACGTGTCGCCGCTCAACCGTCCGTCCCTGGGGGCCGACTCCGCCCGCACGCTGCGCCGGTCAGTCGCTAGGGGCGACAGGGGGAGGGGTGGCGGGCTCATGTCAGCGGCGTGACTCAGGCCTGCAGGGCGCCGTGAAGGGTCACCCCGCTCGGGTCACGCTGCCACAACTGCAGACCCCCTCCCCCGCCCCCTCCCGGGGTAGTGACGTCAGTGACCGCAGCCCCAGCTGTCCCGCCCATGAAACAGTCGCGCCGCCAGGGTCAGTGGCCCCGTCCAATGCGGGCGGCGGCGCCGACGAAGTTGTGTCATTTGAGGGCCAGGGATCGCTGTCATTTGTCGACTCGGCTGAGTCAAATGAGAACGTTCAGCTTTACATTCGTGAAGCCATATGAAGTTCGTCGGACTTTCTGCCAACATTGAACATGCACTTAGGAGCGTCGGAATTGGAAAACTAAAAACGCTGCTTGTGCAGAGGTATTAGTCGCTTGAAACGTTATCAAAGTTTCAGAAATGTTGCAAGATGCTAATGAACAATTCTGTTGACAAAGTACCAGGTGGGAAATCGTCGCTCAATTCCCAGCACAAGATTCAATTAAAGTTACACTAATGGGTCTCCAAACTTCCAGCCCCAGGAGCCAATTATGACCGGCCAACTCGACCACCTTTCATCCTGTGCCGCCGGCTCTGCACATTAACCCGCGCCCCAGTGGCGGTCTCAGCCAACTTCGCCCTAGTGAGGGGGGCATATGTTACCACCCACCTCTTACTCAAAAACTAAGAGGGCTAGAAAGACGCGGTAAAAAGCAGTCGATAGCTCTCAATGCGTACGTTTGAAAGTATTTCAGTCATTTTTCACCTTAGAGCAATATTGGGGTCACCAGAGGTCATCAAAGGTCAAAATTTGCCAATTGTCATTATATTTTTCAGAAAATATGCCGTTATCTCAGGAACTTTGGTAGCTAGAAAAACGCATGGAAGAGCAAACGATAGCTTTTGAACTCTTCTTTTGAAAAGGTCATTATCAATATTGACCTCAGGTCAACGGTTTATCCTCCAGAGGGCAAAAACTCCAAAAATAGCTGTTTTTACGAAAAGTGTTTTTCGACAATAACTTTCGACTAAAAAAAGCCACGACATTTCTATTGCCAGAATCGTGTTCCCCTCTCCGAGACGCGTCGAATGAACTATAATTTGACCTTGAAAGGTCAACTTGAAAATTTGACCTCAGGTCAAGGTCATGACCTTACCGGAAAAGGTCATTCTGCATATCAGTCGATGCGTCTCAACAAGACAAACACAATGAGACCATCCCCAGCGTTCTATCTCTTTCCAATCGCGAGTTATTGGCAAAAAAACTGTTTGTAGCCTCAAGTGACCTCGGATGACCTGTCTAGAGGCTATCAGCAAAAATGACACCTTGGTCATCACGAGTGGACTAAATGATTGTGATTCTGAAATATTTGGACTGTTCCGATGCGTACACACGGATCTAGAGGCATTTTCATTTTTCTCCATTGACTTGTAATGGAAAGGTCACGCCACTGACCTGACCTTAGGTCACGGATATAAAAAATCCGAGATATACAAATTGTAGGGGCCCATAACAGCATGCAATCCACCAAGTTTCAAACCTTTCTGACAAACACTGCAGGCTGGACATGATTGCAAACTTTTTTTTAGGCTTGGTCAGTTAACTTGACCTGGTGACCTGACCTGACATGACCTGGGATCAAAAATTTCACACATTGTCCAAAATTGATGTACCAAAAGCTACTCCAAGCGGCGCGGCGCTACGCGCCGCGGTTTTTTATTCACACGCAAAAAACGAGACAGGGTGGTAACATATGCCCCCCCCCCCACTGGGGCGAAGGTTAAGTAGCCGAAATGAGGCGGTCGACGGTGGCCAGTCGGCCGGGTAGCCACCACTGGTCGGCGTCTCACTGGACCGGGCAGGGGAGACTCGGAGAGGTGTGAGACATGTCAGCCATCTGCCGATCGCCGTTACACGTATGTAGGTCCGAAAGTCGCCGCCTACCGCTGAGTAGGCTCAGCTACCCCGCTCAGCTTTGACTGGTTTCATCAGCCGCACCGTCCCGCTACTCCACTTGTCTGCGAGTCACTTGGACTCTGCGTTATACTCGGGCTGACTCCATTTGGCTCTGCTCCGGAATCAGCTGGACTGGCCGCTGGTAGTGGTCCAGTGGCAGCGGTGGCCGCAGGGGCGACCCTCTGTCCACACTTTTCACCAGCAGAGGTCTGATAAGGACGTCTCCCTCCGCCAGTCTGTCGTTCTATGATGCCCGGGTGGCCGCTCCCAGCTTCATCAGTTTCGACGCCACTGTTTGCTTTGCGCTCCGTCGGACAGCCTGTTTATAAATATCTCATCTTTCTGCGCCGTGACGGGGTCCGTGGCAGCGGCTAGCCCGTTCGTTGCCAGATTAGATCCGCCGGTATTTGATCTGTATGTGTGACGTGGGCGCTAACTATCCCCATCAACAGCTGTTCGGCACATCCCAGCCGCGGAGTAAACGGAGAGTACTGACCCGTATCCACCGGTCCCGCCTCCCGAGCCGCTGAGTGACGGTCGGTCAGTCCCACCGACCACAAAGGACCTCCTTCACTAATAGTTTCGGCCATTAAAGCTGGACCCAGACGCCGCCAATTATCCGATTTGTCGGTGGACACGCCGGGCTGCTCGGCTGAGCCGCTCCAATGGCTGTCCCCCGCCGCGGAGCCGGTGGCAGCTCCGACCTTCTGCGAGCCCCCGCCGAGCTGCCGGTGACCCAGAGCGGCCCAAGGTCAGCGCCCGCCGCCCCCGCCCCCGCCCGGCGGCCGCCCTCCGCCGGGGTGGCATCGATCAGCAGTCGCCTGCAATGCGGCTCCGCCCCAGCCCTTCCTTCTGCGAACGGGCCGGGCCGACATGCATACACAGCATACGGTACGTGGCCGCCAGGCGACGCCGCCACGCCCCTCCCGTCCGTCTTGGTCCCCCCCCCCCCTCCCGTCCGTCCCGTCCCCCCCCCCCGTCCCCGCCCCTCCATCCACTTGAACCGTTCGTCGCGGCGCCTCGACTAGCCGCTCGACTCAGCGACGCCAACGCTCCGCCGACTGACAGTTCTGGCAACAGTCAGAGCCGACATGCCGGACGAACGAACGGACAGGGGATAGACGGACAGCAGAGGGGCTTCCATTATCGGTAGCCCCTTCCATCATCGCCACTCTGACGTCAGACCAGTCCGCCATTGTCACCCCATTGACGTTATGGCGTCACAGGACGTCACAGGACGTCACAGGACACGTCACACCTCCCGTTACGCGGCGTGTCACGACGGCACTTCATCACCAGCATCGACCGACATCGTCAGAGCCGGAGATCAGATCAGCCGAGATGGTCAGAGCGCGACGACAGCCGATGACGTGGGAAATATGGGACGGCGCCGCTCTCCCGCTGTTGTGTCACCCACCGACCGCGGTCCTGATTCACTCAGAGCAGTCGCCGAGGACGAGATGACAGCCAGAGACAAGCTGATGATCGGAGCTTCAGAGCCTTGATCAGAGCAAGGAGCGAGGGAAGACACTGGTCGCGGTTGACCTGGTTAACCAAGGAGACTCCAACTGACTGCACATGAAACTCCCAGCACGCTGCCACTCCAGTCTCCGATCACAACCAGGATCACGAGCTACCTTCCATCGTAACACACAGCTCACGGCTCCCTGTCGCCCGCGCTCACCTCTCCGAAGGCGCCCTTGCCGATGACTTTGATGGGTGTGAAGTCCTCGACTCCGAGCCGGGCCCGTTTCAGCCTCAGGAACTCTGTCTCTTTGACGGCGTGCTGCTGGCGCTTCTCCACCTTCTGCGACTCGGAGAGACCCTCCTCCTGCATCGACTGCTCCAGCCGCGTGTGCCTGAGGGAAGAACGGGTCAGGTCATGTCAGGTCAGGTTAAGACCGGCGAGGTCCGAAGGGCACGTAGGGGACAATGAGAAGAGGTCGATGAGGTGTATTTTGAATCCAGATGTCTCAAAGAGTTAAGATTGGATCCGCAATATGAAGACAGTAGAAAGGCAAGGCAAATGCTGTCTATCGATATTGTCTTAAGAGCAAGACGCAAGAAGGAATTAAATCTATCCACGCATTCTCCCGGCGCGACTGGCACCGCACAGTCATTCAGTCCCCGCAGAGCAGTGTCCGGTCCATTGACGCAGTTCTGGGCGCGGCAGGAGTCGGGATGGCCGGCCCGTTGGTGACCTCTGACCTCGGCCAGCCCGTTGGTGGAGGAGCTGCCAGGCACAATCATCCGGACGGACAGCCCAGCGGCCGGCGCTGGGCTGAGGCCGCATGGACACACATCCGGCACCAGGATACCAACGAAGGAGTGGAGGTGGGCTTGGTCCACCTTACAGAGCTAAATCCAGCGCAGCCCATCCCAAACTAACACAACCCGATCCGAGCCGACGTGGCAGTCACGGCCGGCGCGGCGCTCCCAGAATGCGTCCATGACACGGCGATGGTTGAGCCTCGGACGATCGGTCCGGCCGCGGCGCGCCGGTTCGCTCTATAAAGCCGTCGGTCCGCGGACGGTAACGGTGTCCGCCGGCCGCCGCAGAGGCCATCACGGAGCGCCACGGACGGCACGGCGGGCACGGCGCGCGAGCCATGCGCGGATCGGACGGCTGACATAAGCGCCATGCCAGGAATCGTCCTCACGAGGTGACTCCGGAATAGCATGGGTAACTCAGCTACTTTCAGTCATACATCTACATCATAGTTTGTGACATACAAAACCCTACCTCCAGGCTCCCAACAAACTACACCATGCATTACTGCACCGTGACAATAGCCCTGGCATATCGAGCTGGCATTTTCCGCGGCCTGTTAGCTCGGCCCCCTCCGTCCCTCCCTGTAACGGTCACGGCCACCATTGATCGTCGCCTCCCGGTCGGTCGGCACACAGACATGAATCAGGTTCGATCAGGGCCGCCGTCGCTGCGTCCTCCCACCTCCTCCCACGGGAGGAGGCCGGGAGCGGAGGTGTGTGTGGGGCTGGAGCTCCCTGGGACGGTCGGCCGGCCGTCGGATGAAGTGAGACGTCGGCGGGAGGGTGGGGACAGAGTGACGTCTCGCCCTGACCTCGACCGGCCGATAGAGGGACGTCTCACCTCGACCTCGACCGGGCGGCGTACTCCGGAGATGAGGCGCCCATTGAGGGGAAATGGAACGACGTCGGCCGCGCAGCCCCGCAGCCGCTCTGCCGTGTGCAGTCCTACTCGATGGGCCTGGCTGTCGGCTATTTTTTCTAACGTTCAATAGTTACGTAATAACCTAAATAAAGCAATCACCACGCTCCACCAAAAAATGCAAATATCCCCAGAAGGCATATGATCACCAGTCATGCGTGAATCATCCAAAGTCCACGGCCGCGGCCGCCGCTGTATCGTATGGCCGGAGAAATAGCCAAACATCCGTACGCCAGCCATGCGAGACGCCGTTGATTACATTGGCCGATATTGCGTCCCGTCCGCGCCGTCTCCGTCCCGTCTGCTGGGCTGGCCAGATGTCGCTGGCGCTGCCCCACCGAACCAATGCTCCACATCGTGAATGTTACAGTATCTCCCTCCGGCCGACGCCATCGATCTGTGAATGACCAGCCTTTTGCAGTCTGTCATAATACGGCCTCCACCATATACAAAATTGACCACATTCAGCCGCCCGCTGTTGACCTGACACTGAGATACCGCATCGTCAGCATGTGATCCAGAATCGGTGATCGACGCGGCCCGAGGAGGCCGTGTCAAGGTCGGGCTGGCTGGGTGGAGGCGGCGGCTGCGGCCGGCCGCCCGTGTGCTAAGTGAGCGGCCGCGGCCCGCACGGTCGTAACACCACCGAGCGGGTATACGATCCGGCCGCGGCACCCGCACCGCTGTGTTGCGAAACGGCTGGATATTTATAGCAGCGGGCACCGAGATTGTTATGATCTATTATGCCATGACATCACGCGGCGAGCGTTACGATCTCGATACCAATCGCAATTTGGGGATCAGGTAGATGGATGCACTATGAAGTTATACCGTCAGATAACACGAAACCGCACTGATGGTCGTTTGGTGTGCGGCCGAAATCATTACAATCGGTATCCTGAGAATAATAAACCGTTGCTTCATCAAATCACGAAATCTCGCCGGGCCATCGGGGCCGTGAATCGTTATCGTGCTATCGGAGCCAGCCGGGCGCGTCGGGACGAACTCTGGCCCGGCTCTGCGGCAGCCTGATGTCGCTCCATCGCCCGCCGCGCCGGACAGAAGGATGGATCGCGGCACCGCGCCGGCCGAATACAACTGACGTAACCGGGCGTCTGTGTCCCACCCGAACCGGACCGGCCGGCCCAGATACAGGTCAGGTCGGGACCACTGGTCACCGCCCGGGGACCAGGGCAGACCGGGACCGGTCCCCGTCACCTCAGACACCCGCCCGAGGACCTCCGAGACCCTGCGGCTGCTCCCCGAGCCGCGTCAGCCATGCCGGCGCCCAGATGCCGCCCAGATAGCAGCGCTCCAACGATCCGTCACATGGAATCGAAAGGAAGTCGGCCGACTACTTTTACGTCCGTGCCCCGGAGCGGCTGTGTACGACATCGGCGGGCGCTGTCGCCGGCCGAGGGCGGCTCAGACCGGCCGGTCAGGAACTACGACACCGTCCCGGGCCGGTTATGATAATGGGCCGTGTGATAGCGGCCCGGCGGCCGGCGCGCGCACATGGTCCGCCGGTGTGCACGGTAAGCACAGTGTGCCGGGGGTGCACGGTGCAGGGCGGCTGGTGAAATCCGGCCGTAACCGCCGCCCACATTATACACCCCGAGTGGAGCTGCACCTGCGGGCATGAGTCGCAGTCGGCCGACTGATGCAGATGGGGGCTATACTACACCATCATCAGTCAGTGTACGGACGGCGCATACGGTCCGAGCATGAGAGACACAGCACACCGCCCCCAAGTCGGGCACAGCGAGCGCGGCAGTCGCACGGGACTGACTCGTGCAGTTCCACAGCCTTGCTAGTGGTACTCGAGGGTGCTACGACTGCCGCCTCCCGGACACCTCCCTGGAGCGGCGACCGGCCGACGGTCCCGCGGCCGGAAACGGCAGACAAAAGCCGGCGCCGTCACGAACGTGCCGTGACCGTGACGAGAGGCGTAACGGTGCGGCGCCAGTCGGCACCAGCCGCCGCGGCCCGGCCCACAGGTCACGCGCCCAACCGAGTCAGACACGATGATAGACAATGTTTCTCGGACTCGCCCAGTTCACTCCGAAAACCAGCGACCGTCACCTTTACAGCGCTGTCAGCAAACTGGGTAACGGTTGGCTGGCTTCCGAGTGACACGGCGTTAATTACCGTCACAGAGCGACCTGGGACGGGACTTCTCGTAGGAAACTGTTCTGTGAAGCCCTCTGCGGTTGGCTGTGTAACGCTCCCAGAACCAATCGTCTAGATTGACGCAGCAACGCGCCTATATCTGAACATCCGGTGACCGGTGCGGTGGGCCGGAGGCTGTGACGGCGGGGGACAGACTCAGCGGAGATGACGCACGCAGCTCCGTCTGAACATCCTGACCTCTCCGTCACCGGCGCAGCTCTACAGCGCGCCGCTCCGACACCCGGGACCTGTCTCTGCCTGTCGCGACCCCAGCAGATCGGAGCGGACCCCGCGACCGGCGTCCACACCGGAACAGCTTGCGGCGACGCTGCCAAAGCCTTGACCGCAGTGGCGTCACTCCGTCCGGCCACTTCCTCTGGACACCATCCGCTCATGACACCCGACAAAGGCAGGAGTGGGGAGAGCATCACGCCACAGCCCAGAGGTGCCGGCCGACCAGCCCACTTACAGCTGAGCTATCGCGCTGGTCCGTTCAGCCCATAACTCCGGCACCGGCGGGCCGTTCGAGCCACGCACGGCGCAGTCGCGGCGCGGCGTCGGCACGACCGGCCGCCGGCCCTGTAACCCGCTGACCTCTGGAGCCGTGAGGCGCTGTCTGCCGTTACCCGGCTCCATCGCTCTCACAGCGCCGCCGGCGCCGCGAAATCACGGCCACCGCGGCGCCCCACGGCTGGCCCGCCGACGGAGAAAGCTGCCCGTCCCGCCTGATGCAAGGTGTGCAGCAGCCAGTCTGTGCAGGCAGCCACACCACACACAGGTGCAACCGGAGCCGGCCGGCGCGGCGCCAACACGGGCGCCGACACCCGGCCGCCGGCGGCGCTCGGTAACAGAGCCGCCCGCGCAGCTGCGCACGCACAGTGGACAAACAGAGACCACGTGCACGGCGCCGCGGGCGGTCTGCAGCGCGCCGCCTCCCTGCACGGCCCGGGGTAAAGTTCACCTCGGCAGCGGCTGGCCGGGAAGTTCCAGTGCTATCGGGCCCCGGCGCGGCTGTGTGCCGCCCGATAGGCCCGGGCGCACGGCAGTGGCGGCGCCACCATAGGGGCAGGGGTGGCAGCCTGCCACCCCTGCCGCGAGGTAGGGGTGGCATTGCCACCCCTGAAATATAGGACAAATTTGAAACGTCACCGACGTTTCAAAAAAAAAGAAAGAAAACACCCCTGACTCGCATACCTACTGCATAGTCTTAACTATTCGAGGCCCCTTTGACCTTTAAGTCTACACTACATACAGGAGGCCCTTTTACACGTGGGAAGTTATCTAAGAGGCCTTTGCGTCACACAGGAGCCCTGTGCCCGCATAGGAGGCCCCTGTATCCGCGCCCTCACAGAAGGCCCCTGGGCCCTGGGCCCGCACAGGAGGCCCCTCTGCCCAAATAGAAGGCCCTTTGCCCACAGGAGACCACTGTGCCCGCATAGGAGGCCCCTGTGCCCGTACAGGAGGCCCCTGGGCCCTGGGCCCGCACAGGAGGCCCCTCTG